GAATTCTCAAGAATGGTCTCAAGACTATGATTAACTCATGAGACCCTAAAACCCTGGTCACTTATAACATTAAAACTTGTGATAATTAGCACCTATATTCGTTTATGTTATAAGTTAACAATTTATATCCTCTCACAGGTGTGAGAACTTTTAATCTCATTAATTTATTGCATGTGGGCAAATGGAAATGAATAGAGTGCTCTTTAATTTGTTCAAAGTAATTCTGGGTTGAAAGAAGTAATTGTTCAGACATTGGTTTAGCAGCCTGGGAGCATCATATGTGAAACCAAAAATTTATTCTGTATAATTCTCTTAGTGACAAATTACACAAGCTGCAGGGTTTATATGTCAAAGTCTGTGCAGCTGAGCCTTATATCTCTATTAATATAAAATACACACTGTTTTAGATCGTGAACATATGGTCAAGCCTGATTAGATGTATCCTTTGTTACCTGTTTAAATATAAGGATTCTCAAAGGGATAAAGGAATTTTCCCAAAGTCATGTATCCAGTAAGTTGCGAGGTCTGGGATTTCACTGGAGTCTATTAGCTAAGTTGTAAAGCTTAAGTTTTTTCCACTATACCACATCCCTCTTTCTACCCTAGTCTAAACGCAAAGGAAATGCTTGATATTTAGATTAAGGAGGGACATGAAAGATAGTCATCATTCAATTTCAACAAGTATTACTGGTCTTTAACATGATTTTAATGGCATCCAAGGGCAATGCCATTTGAAACTGAAAATGAGACACCAGTTTGCCACCCTCTTCCCATCCCATTGAAGGATATGGAAGACTGCAGTGGTATTAATAGAAAAACAGTTTGCTTGCCGTGTGGCTAGCCCTTGAAAAATAAAAATAAATACACATCTACATTCTTCTCTGTTTTAAGCAAAGTGATCTAATAGTAACAGAACTATAGGTCTTTTATTCTTTCTTGAAAGTTCCATTAAAGTAATCAAGATAATAAACTTGAGGAAAACAAAGAAAAAGATCAATACTAAATAGAAGCATGATGAATATTTATTTCTTTCTCATATACCTCTCTTGGCTTTATAATCCGCATACTTTCCTCAATGTTAAGTCCGTGAAGTTGTAGCTGTGATTCAATAGCATACTGGAAAAGAAAGATAATCTATTTATAACATTAAGCTGAAAGCACCAAAGTACATTAAAAAAAAAAAACACCAAAAACAAATAATAAAATAACAATACAAACATTAAATCCAAGGTCAAGGTTAAGAGACCTAAACAAAACACACTGGAGAAGAACACCTTAATATAATTTACATGCAGGAATCTGAATTTGAAATGTTACATATTAGAGAAGAATGAAAATGTAGAGGTCACCTAGACTTAAGGAGCTACAAGAGATTTTTGGAATAAGATATTAAATCATCTAACTCAAAACCAGAATTTACAAAATAACCAAGGTGAGTAGTATAGACTTGCTATGCCTGAACATAGGATACAGAAATGGCTTAACTTAGAAAGAATAACTTTACTTCCTTGAGAGTACAAGATATGTATGAGAATAAGCAATTACAAGAATTACCTGGAATCTTTTGAAGATATTAAGATTCTGATCCATTTTAGTAAGGTAACAGCTATTAATTTTGACATATCATACCCCAAAATTATAAGGTGTAGGCCAGAATAGTAATAATATAAATAAAGAAATAAAATTTTTCTAACACTGAAACTGAAATATACAATGTACTTTTATTTTTATTATTTTTTTAACTTGCCACTGACTTGAAACTCATATACAATGTACTTTTTATCTGTGTCTGTGTCTAGAACAATCAAATTTCTTATTAAGTAAATCACTGATAAAGTAGCATGTTTTTTTCTAGTGAACCACAAGAAATATTTTTAATTTCTAATACATTTTTTTATAATAAAGCACCAATAATTATGCTAGCATGCTATGAGAATAAAGGGACAAATAAAAGTTTATATTCCTATTCTATATAGCTAAAGAGTTAAGAACTGAGGTTTGTATTGATTTGGTTTCATATACAAATAAAATAGCAACAAGAATTAATAAAACATTTATAACTGCACATGATTTAGACCAGCAGTTTTCTCAATGTCTTTAAAAAGACTAATAAATCAATGTTCCTATTCAATCCTTTCTTCCCTTAGCACATGTTTTACTTGAACAAAAGAAATAAAGTTACAATCTATGAAAAAAATACCTAAATCAAAAGCATATGACAGATCTTTTTATTGTAAGGTTACTTGGAAAAGACTAGTGAATAAACATTCAAGTCAGGAAAATGATATGCTCCTCTAGGAAGAATAGAAAGAACATAAATATAATTTAAAGAAATCCTTACATGATCAGAAGGGAAGGCTTTGGCTTCTAGAAGAATTTTATACCGTGTCGGCGTAGGCTTAAAGAATGATAACTACGATGAAACAGATTTATTGAAAAAGCATTAATGCACAATTTATGCATTTGTTCATTTATACCACGCTTTCATGTTATAATCTCCAGCATTTTAAAGACATTAATTAATTAAACATTTAAGGTGTCTGTTGGGGTACCTTTTCAATTAGCCTTGTTTCCAGTGAATTATAAACAGAAAGAAGATACTGGCTCATTATGTTTATCAATAAAAAAGCCAACTCAGGGGAAAATGTGAATCAGATAAAAATAAATCCTCAAACTTTACTCAAATATTAATTGAAAAATTATCTTCCCAAAGCATTTCATGGTAGTTTCTGTAGTGTGACATTGAAATATCATGTTCTATGTACTTACATTGACTTCTTTTATACTGCCAGTTTGGTTTCCACTGCACAACCTTCCCACTGTTTTAATATTTTATGGGATTTTATTTTGGGTCCAACTGAAAGTACCTTAGCTCTAACATAAAACATCTGCAATTCCTAGAGGCACCAGCGAGAGGTAGTTTGGTTGTTCAGTGGGGCTCTTTCATCTCTGCACACAGTTCTTGGGGAATGAGATTGGTGATAACAATGAAAGTGATAGCTATTATTAACTGGGTCTTGATCACTGGCCAGTGCTAAAGCAACTTTCACATATTATCACATATAATCCTTGTATAGATCTTTGAGGTAGGTATTACTATCCTCATTTTTGCAAAGGAGAATATTAAGACATGGAGATGTCAAAAGCTTGTCCAATGTCAAATAGGCATTAAGTAATTTAGCTGGGGGTCAAATCCAGGAATGTCTGAACATGTAGATATGTTTCCAAAACATACTTACACAATGAAGTCAAGATTTTTCAAAGCATCAAGCAATGATTATAGATATCACATCCCAAACGGAAAATATAAATGATATTTTATTGAGTATTTAAGATGAAAGAAGTATTTTAAACATAGGAACTCATTTAAGGTAGTAGATCCCTTTTCTTCAATTTAGCGTTATTTTCCAAGTCTTTTAACCTACTCCCCAAAAATTAATCCACAAAAGTATGCTGATCCATAATTCTCACTCTGCTGAAGTCTAACATATTGAAAAATTGTCTTTCCAAAGAGTTCAATGCTTTGCTAGCATTTGTACATCATCATTGTTTTGTATGCCTGCAAGCAGTTTCCCTTTTCGTCCACCGTGACTCTTACTCCTTATTTTCTGAGACAAGAACTGTTCGTTATTCAAAGCTCTTTGCAAGAGTCAACTTTTCCATGATTAGGAAGAAGCCATTATATCATGGTCCAGTATTTCCTGGTAAAAATGAAAATGATCTCGCAATTTATTTTTAAGTAAGTAAACCACCAGATGCTCATGAATTAAAGATAGAAAAACATCAGATTCTGTAAATGAGTGTATTCTAAACATTGGTGGGAAAGGAAACTCACCAGTAGAAGATGTAAATTAACAGTCAAAGCATTCATTAAGGCAATTTCTTTCTCATCGGCTCCTGCAAAATAAACATATAATAATTTAGATGTTTCTATTACTTCTAAAGATACTTAGCAAAACAAAGTAGGAAGCATCACTTGATCATTCTTAATGCTTTTAGAGATAAGGGCGTATTTCATGTGTCATCACAAAGAAATGGAAGCTTTCCCACTTGACTCATTTTATCAAATGATATCTGAACTAACATGTACACAGCTAGCTAAAAATTATATTTCCTTTTTCATGTAGTAAATAAAAACCAAATAATGAAGCATTTGCTTTTTCCTGGAAAATGAAAATGATATATCCTATTATCAGCTAGTTTGTCAAATTCCCAAAGAGTACATTTTTGTGGTAAGTGTATCTCCAAAAGGAATCTAATAAGGTATTAAGGTCAATTACAGTTTTAAAGCTGGCTGTTTCTGATATCAAATTAAAATGCACCTTTAATAAAAGATGGCTACTTTGCCAAACATAATTCATTGTTATTACAGTGAGATATATAACAAGACAAAACAACTACATAGCAAAATACAATGACCTAAATAGCTCTGGGGTTTATTCATACACACTGAGATAAAAGATAATAGAGATGTGTAGTGTCTGCTGAGAAAATATGCAGTATTAAGATATCCCCTACATAATCATAATATGATCGAATTCCTTTTAACAAGGGTTTTAACAGAAACAGACCTAGAGAATACATTAGCTGCTTAAGAATTTATAGCATAATAACAGCAATATTAGTACCTCTCATGTTTTGAGTTCTTATATCTCCTTACTATCCCTGAGAAAAATAGGCTGTGTACCTATGCATAACACAAGTCCTACATTTTCTATCTAAAGAGATATTCCTGATAGAGTCCCATTTTAAAAGAATAGCCAGTAAGTGGAAAAATAAATCTAATAGATAGAGTCTAGGATAAGTTCATTGGACGGAGAGGCCACGGAAATAGTGTATAATTTAGGAATTTATATTTCAAAATAGCCATTTAAGGAAGCTCCTGTCATCTTCACCTGGTCAAGGAAAACTTCTTATTGCATTTGCCATATGGCTTTCTGCATTTGATATACAAGGTTAGTGAACAAGTGGTGGGTGCTAATACATATATCCCTGGTCATTGTAAAGCAAAGGTCTGAAGTCAAGGGTCAATAAGAACAATCTCATTCCATATCCCTAGCACTCAATAAAATTTCTTCTAGACATACTATATATATATGCATCTGATAAGCTTATGTTACTTATAGTGGCATATGCCTTCTCCTAAAGTAAGAAAATCTCATCGAAATGTAATTTTAAAAAAATGTTGCCAGTTTTATTATATTCATTTCTTTACACTATGGTGTAAATTTTTCTGTTATTTCTAAAATAAATAGTATCTAAGATATCTAACCTGATCTTATCCTTGACTCTCCATTAACTATTTACATGCATCTTTTCTGAAAACCATTTATTAAAAAAAAAAAATTGGCAGGGTGAGTGGAAAGAAGAAAGGAAGGAAAAGTAATATGAAGAGAAAGCAGAATCAGTAGAAAGAGTGGCATTTGAAAAAAGAAGAAAATAAAAAAAGAAAACATGGTAGTTATCACAAAATGAAAAAAAGAAATGCAAGAAGCAGGAAATGGGGGGACTTTCTATAGAAACTCAGACACTATATTTTTGCTTTAATATTACATTTTGATTAAAACAAATATAGATTCCTGGGAAATTTTTGTTCTCCAGACAATACAGTGTTCATTTGGATCACCTAAAATTTTTTGGGCAAGGGAATGTGATGAATCTACATACATGCCCACCCCTAGATGCACCGGCTGAATTAATGTACATTGACACTTGGCATTGAGTAACAAGAGCAATAGAGGTCATTCCTCACCACACTTTTCAATGGCATGCTCTCACTTGGACCAGTTCTTTGTAAATAATCCCTCCTCTATTTGAATGATTGCACCATGGACCACTTCAAATAAAATTCACCTGCTACTGAACTTTGTCCAAGGACAGGGTCAGTCTATTTAACATGCATGAATGTGCACGCACGTGTAACGGGGTGGTGTGAATATTAAAGTTTCAAAACATTAATAGAAGTGTTTCTTACAAATGTAAGCTAAAGGCACTGAAGAATCAAGCATTCTTAACATCGAAGAGCCACAGCAGACTGATTTTTAGTGCATAGCAATACCTCATTTTGTTGCACTTTACCTTATTGTGTTTTTTACAAATTGAAGGCTTGCTACAACCTTGCATGGATCAATTCTATTGGTGTCATTTTTTTTTTAACAGTGTTTGCTCACTTCATGTCTCTGTGTCATATTTTGGTAATTCTAGCAATATTTCAAACTTTTCATTATTATTATATTTGTTATGATGATCTGTAATCAGTGATCTTTGATGTTACTATTGTAACTATATTAAGGGACCACAAACCATGCCCACATAAGATGGCAAACTTCATCCATAAATTTCATGTGTATTTTGATTGCTCCACTAACTGACCATTTCCCTGTCTCCTTCCCTTGGGCCTTTCTATTTCCTGAGACACTAAAATATTGAAATTAGGCCAATTAATAACCCTACAATAACCTCTAAGAGTTTCACATCTCTCATTTTAAATCAAAAGATAGAAATGTTAAGCTTAAAGAGGAAGGCATGTCCAAAGCTAACATAGCTGAAAGCTGTACCTCTTGTGCCAGTTAGCCATGTCAAGATTGCAAGAAAAAGTTCTAGAAGGAAATTAAAAGTGCTATTCCAGTGAACACAGGGATGATAAGAAGGTGAAACAGTCTCAGTGCTGATATGGAGAAAGTCTGAGTGGTCTGAATTGAAGATCAAACCAGCCACAACATTCCCTTAAGCCAAAGCCCAGCTCAGATCAAGGCCCCACCTGTCTTCAATTCTATGAAGCCTGAAAGAGGTGAGGAAGCTGCAAAAGAAAAGTTGCAGCTTTGGAAGCTAGCAGAGGTTGGCTCCTGAGCTTTAAGGAAAGAAACATAAAAATGCGAAGTAGACATAGGTCCCAGGAGAAAGAGGAAGAAGCATGGATGCCGGGCGGCTCCCAGGATGCAGAGGTGCCACTGCCTACATGGAGCCCCCTGAGCACCTCTGGAACAATGAATGCCAACCTCTTGTTTAACAATTAGTCAGTGGGGAAAATTATTAGATCTCACAGATTTGGTCATTTCAATTAGAAAAACAGGAAAATAGGGGCAACTACTATTCGCAAATGAAAATGCATACGGACATGACTTGGAGGACCAAAGGTTACAAGAAGCTTTGAAGAGGAGTCTCTCAACAGTGTGTCCTGACCTGTAGCTTTCTTGCCTTTCATGGCACCCACGGTATTTCTGTTGATAATGCCAGCAAAAGGGATAAAGTCCATGATTTTAAATCAGGTTTCCTTCTAGGCCTACACTACAGCATTCAACATTACCAATGGAAATGTAAGTTATGATCATTGTTCACAAGAGAGTATAGTACTAGGAGCAGGAGTAATTGTTTCTTCAATATTCTTTGGATTAATCCCTAATTTGGCCCAAATGAAGTATTCCTTGGATAACTTTTGGACCAAAAGAACCTTATCTTTCTCACCCAAGTCAGTGGAATGAATGTTTTTGCATCCTGAAGCCTAGAGCCTATTTGAAGGATTGAGATCATGGACAAGGGGCCAGGTGCAGTGGCTCACGCCTATAATCCTAGCACTCTAGAGGCCGAGGCAGGAGGATTGTTTGAGCTCAGGAGTTGGAGACTAACCTGAGCAAGAGCAAGACCCCGTCTCTACCAAAAAGACAAGAGAAGAAAACCCAGCCGGGCATTGGGGTGCACACCTGCTGTCCCAGCTACCCAGAAGGCTGAGGCAGAAGGATCGCTTAGAGCCCAGGAGCCAGAGGTTGCAGCGACAATGGCGCCACTGCACTCTACCCAGGGCAGGCGAGTGACATTCTGTCTCAATAAAAACAAACAAGGCACTGGAGATCATGGACAAGGAAGACAATGTCATAGGCCATTCAAGAAGGGCCTGTAGAAAGGCTGCTAAGGAAACAGAAATACCCAGGGCAGTGCTGTTTGAGACCACAAATTTTATTCCCAAAGTTTTCACCTACTTTAAGGATACAGTGCAGTACGCTTGAAGAGGAAACTCAGTCTTCAAGAACAGTACTTTTCTACACCAGAGGGCTGTAGGGATGAGCTTTAGGTGAATTTGTCTGTCTCCAACTTGAAACCCTTTCTCTCTCAAGACTTCAGTTTAGACAAAGGTTTCTTGGGGACCTCAGAGGTGTCTGCACTAACAAGATGATTTAAGATTAGACATGCCGAGACTGGTTCCAGGCTGGTTGTATCTGGAGTCTTTAGAGCTGACTGGAAGAAGAGCAATGAGAAGGTGTCCCGTCTGACACCACCCTGGGGTTGCTGAGGGAGCAAGTGAGGTAACAACCAGCCTGTGAAAGGCTACTGTGAAATTACTAACGAACTCGTCTCAAGTTCAATATTTCGGGGGAAAAAAAGTGCATGATGAGGCATTAAGTGCCGATGTAGAACCTGCAGCAAATTATTCAGCAGATCTGATGAAGATCATTGAGGAAGGTAGCTGCACTGAACAACAGATTTTTTCCAGGTAGGTGAAATAGCTTTTTATTTGGAGAAGATGCCATCCAGGACTCTCATAGCTAGAGAAGTCAATGCCTGTCATCAAACCTTCAAAGGACAGGCTGACTTTCTTATTAGGAGTTAAAACAGCTAGTGCCTTCAAGTTCAAGCCAATACTTATTTACCATTTTGAAAATCCCAAAGCCCTTTAGGAATCATACTAAATCTACTCTGTCTGTGCTCTATAAATGGAACAACAAAGCCTGGATGACAGGACATCTGTTTACAACATGGTTCACTAGATATTTTAAGCCCACTGTTGAAACTTATTACTTAGAAAAAAGGATCCCTTTAAAAACATTACTGCTCATTGACAATGCACCTAGTCACCCAAGAGCTCTGAGGGAGATGCTCAAGGAGGTTAATGCTGTTTTCTT